TGATTTTTTACAGAGAGGAAGGGAGAGGGAGAGTTAGAAACATCGATGAGAGAGAATCATCGATCAGCCACCTCTTGCACACCCCCCACTGGGGATGTGCCCGCAACCAAGGCACATGCCCTTGACCAGAATCGAACCCGGGACCCTCCAGTCCGCAGGCCGACGCTCTATCCACTGAGCCAAACCGGTTTCGGCCTTGAAGTGTTTTGATCTGGCAAACTTTGAAGTCATCCAAGAAGTATATTTTTAGGTCCAGATGATCAGATAACAGTCTTCTGGATTTCTCTAACTTCGTACAGGTCAGGCCATTATACTTTACACAAACTATAAAATGGTCTGTCATTATTAGGGGGAGGATATTGAAACAACAAACGGAAGGTTCAATGGGGGGGGTGTCTCTCAATTGGGGCTTGTGTTCATCTAGAATCCCATGGTGACCCACCCCTCACACAGACCAGAGACTTCTGAGGTGCTGGGCCATCTCCCAAATCAGATGGGTTTCATTTCATTTTCCTTCTCTGAAAACTGACCATCCAGGAAACGACAGACCCTGCTGTTTGATTAATTTGTAAAACCTGCTACCACCTGTGCCGAGAGATAATTAAAGTGCTTTTTCAATAAACTGATTTTGGATCGGTGCCTATAACCAGAGAAGGGAGGTATCGCATATGATGCACATACGTAACTATTTAAAGCAATCTGTTGTCATGACGATCAGTATGGAATATCTGCTACCCTGTTTCCTTGAAAATAAAACAGTGTCTTATATTAATTTTTTCTCCCAAAGTTGCGCTAGGTCTTATTTTCGGAGGATGTCTTATTTTCAGGGAAACACGGTATTCACAAGGCGTTGATCTAATACTGTAAATGCTAAGCTCTAACTCCTGAAATAGAGGAGTGCCCACCTAACTCATCGGACGTTTTTCTGTAGGGGAAATTTGTCTCTACAGCCATCCATTCAGTCATTTATCTACAGCAGCGCACATCGGAGCGAGTGATCAAACTCCCGGTCTCCCGGTCGAACTCCCGAGTGGACGCTTTGCATATCAGCCTTTTATTATGATATAGGAGGATTCTGGGTTACAACCCAACGCTATGTTATTTGTTTTCTTGTCCCGATTCTGGCCACTGGGACCAATTTCAGGTTGGCTCCAGTATCCCTCCGACACGCCCCATCCTTTTGTTTTTGAACATTTCATTACTTTCTTCTCCTCCATGTTTGTCGTCAGCAAAAAAAATACCTTACTTAAAAAAAAAAAAAGGCTATTATGGGTTGAATTGTGTCCCATCTCCTCCAAGCCATGTTCAAGTTCTGGTCACCGGCACCTGAGAATGTGACCTGATTTGAAGCAGAGTCATTGGAAATGTAATTACTAAAATGAGGTCAGTCTGGGGTAGAATGGGCCCCTCGTTCAATACGAACAGCGTCCTTATAAAAAGGTGGGAATCTGGCACCGAGAGCACACCGCAGAGCACCATGTGACATCCAGGCGATGCTTCTTCGGGCCAACGAATGTCAAGAAATGCCAGCAAAACAGCAGATGTGGGGCGAGAGCCAGGTGTCAGCCCTCAGACGGAGTCAACCCTGCTGACACCTTGATCTTGACCTTCCAGCCTCCAGGAGGGAAAGAAAATGAATTCCTGTTGTTCCTCAGCTGTTGCTCTGCCATGGCAGCCTCTGCAAACTACCGTGTTTCCCCAAAAATAAGAGATCCTCCGAAAATAAGACCTAGCGCATGGAAAGATAAGACATCCCCTGAAAATAAGACCTAGCACAACTTTGAGAGAAAAAAATTAACATAAGACACTGTCTTATTTTCGGGGAAACAGGGTAGTAAGGAGCTAATGCCATGGAACTCCACATTCCCACGAAAAACAATTCATAAGTGTGGTATCCAAAGCAGCAACAACGTCCTATCCAACACCTAAGAGCACACTGGCAGTCAGGGCACGCACGTCGGGCACGCACAGAGCGTGGGGGCAGCGTTTCCAGATCCCCCCTTTTCCCTGCAGAACGTTCGGCCACCTACAGCGCGGCTCAGAGCGCTCCCTGCCAAGCGCACCTGCGAGGACAAGCAATAACCACCCATCTAGCGTAATCACCATCTTCAACATGCTAAGTGCCGGCTCCGTGAGAGCTGAGCGTTCCCCAGGTGCCCCTGCACAGCAAGCCTGCACGGAGCTGATGCCGGAGACCCAGCCGTGGCGTGTGTCAGGTTGGCATTTCTGGTCCCTGTTTAACGGCTCACTCTGCCCCACTTCCATCCTCCCTCAGACACGTCAACAAGGGGCCCGAGGCTTAGAATGGAGCCGAATACCATGCCATTAGAAGCCATATGAATACTGGACAGTCACCTAGTATTCAGTACCCTCCGCTCTCCAAGAAGAGAGAAAGGGACTTGCTCTTACAGAGTTAAGACATGGGAGAGGCTGGCTAGCTTCTGATCTGGCACCTCACACCACATCCAGGGACCTTCCTGGGGGTGAAATCCCCCAGGTGGGTCCATATGGGAACTTGTTTCCTCATCAACCTGGGGATGAGGCACTGGTGGCGGCAGCACAGGATCTGGAGTAATTGCGTGGAAGTCGTTTTCATTACCCGAGCTCTGGCTCGTCTGCGTTTTTATGCCCACGTTAAAAATCTAATGAAGTCATTATGCCCGGGCCAGTGCGGCAAGCCTCGCCTGAGTGTGCATCCCTCCTGCAAGCCCCAGAGCTCTGCTATAATCCCTCAAATTATTAAATAATTACCACGTCTCCCTTGGGTCACGCTTGGCAACAAAACACTGGTCTAAACGAACCGACGATGTGACCCAGTGAATAACACTTAATGTTCTTAACCTCCCTCGGCAGCAGAAGGACGTGAAATACCTCCGAGGTCCAAGGTGGGGGATAAAGGAAGGGGTATTCTGCGGGGTCTGGAGGGTAGGGGGTCAGCAGAATGACAAAGGAGCAAGAGAATCTGGGAAATAGTCCCATCACTAGTGTCACCTCCTCCCCCACCAGCCCTGTCAGTCAGCAATTCTCCACTCTGATCCTCGTTCCCTTCCAGGTTTCCCGAGAGGCTACGGCCACCAGAAGAGAACCAGGCATATGGCCCTGTCCTTCTGGACGGCTCTGTCCTTCTGGACGTCTCCACAACGCTTGGCTGGGCTGCTCTGGAAAATCCCATTCCGTCTCCTCTCCGACAGCTCTGTGACCTCAAGTTGTCATTTCCAATCACGCATGCCTCCGCCGATTTTTATGAACATAGACAAAAGCGGCTACAACCATTTCCTCCCCCCCCCCACCCCATCCTTCAAACCTACTGTAGTTGCTATGCGAGGTTATTTGTTTCTAAGGCAACAGCGTATATCTAAGTACTAATGGCCTGTCCTTTTGCCAGGCAACAAACAGCCTTGTGATGCAACTGCACCTGTCTCGGCTACGCGTTACTATGGAGACGGCTCTGGTTGCTATGGCTACCATCACGCTAATCGCCTAGCAGAGGCAGACATACAGCAGTCTTCTCGGAGAGCCCAGCTGTTCCTCCCCGTCTCTCGCCGGAGACTGATTGTCTACCCCTGTGATGGAATGCTCTCCACTGGGATGTGCAGGAACTTCATCAATGCCCTTTCTGAGCATCCCTCTGCTCCTCTCCGCAGAGCACAAGGCGAGGGAAAGGAGCTGCAGCGCCATGGACCACAACACTGCCGAAATCTATAAGTCACACCGTATCTCACCGACATACACCTGCGGTCGAGGACAATTGCTCTTCACTGGGTGGTCACAACAGAAACATTACCAGACGTGAAAAATTAGGCTTTTACCCTAGCTCAGAGGTCGGCAAACTCCACAGAGCCAAGTATCAATAGGACAACGATTGAAATTCCTTTTGAGAGCCAAATTTTTTAAACTTCAACTTCTTCGAACGCCACTTCTTCAAAATAGACTCGCCCAGGCCGTGGTATTTTGTGGAAGAGCCACACTCAAGGGGCCAAAGAGTTGCATGTGGCTCGAGAGCCGCAGAGTGCTGACCACTGCCCAAGCTGGTTTGGCTCAGTGGATAGTGTCAGCCTGCGGACTGAAGGGTCCCACTTTGATTCAGGTCAAGGCTCCTCCCCGGCCCGGGCCCTGGTCGGGGCTCATGCGGGAGGCAGCCAATCAGTGTGTTGCTCTCACATCGATGCTTCTCTCTGTCTTTCCCTCTCTCTTCCACTCTCTCTAAAGATCAATGGGAAAATATCCTCGGGTGAGAATAAAAATAAGTAGATTATTCTTTTTTTGTAGGATTGAGGGCTTTATTTCAAAGCCAAGCACTATGCAAGATAAAAATCAGCTTTAAAAGTTGGTTCTGTTCTATGTGGCTTAAAAAAAAAAAAAAATCTTAACACGAATAACACATGTTTGAAAAGTAACAAGCTACACATCCTCTGCTCCACTAAACTCTATCATAGTTACTTTGTAAAGAGGGCACCGGGGACCTCCCTGCCACAACCCAAACGGGTGTGTGCAGGGGAAACAGAAGTCTCCATGGTTCTCTGCGCCTGGCTTGGAAGAGGCAAACACCAAGTAACCACAACAAAACAGTTACTCAGGAGCCCGTCCACACGGCGACCAGAAGGACAACAGAGGGGAGAGTCCGCAGTGGCCAGTGTCGGCACTCCGGGTCGGAGGACAGGAATCAGACCCCTTACGCGGCTCATCTGTACTTTTATTGCAACAAACCGTGGCACGCTGAGAAGTCAGAGCCGTCACCTATTCCTGGTTCACGTTTCCACCCCGGAAGGCGGTCTCCCACCCGCCCCGAAGCTTTCGGAAAACCCGTCCCGCCAAAGCAGCAGGAGCGGTAAGGTTTGCAAGAACCACCACAGCGGAGGTCCCTCCGATAAGACTTCCTTTCTTTCTCATTTACCTATTTTAAAAAGCGCGCAGTCTATTAAATTAGTCTCAGCACCGGTCTCTGCCGCGATAAGGCAACTTCTGCAGACAAGAAGAAAAAGGAAAGGTGAACTGCTTACCTTTGATATGCCTGAGGAGAGGCGGGCGGCGTGGTGAACACGTGAGGGTGCGGGTGATAAGGTGTCTTTTTCAGAGCCTGAATTAGGTTTTGTCTGTACTCCGGGTCTATGCACCACAACGACCCTTTCCCAATGCTCTGCAGAGAAAGTGAAAAGACGACGGTGGTTAGTACAGAAAGTATTGTTCTGCATGAAGTAGGTGTGTAGCTGGTATCACAGTTACTTATTTAAGAAAACGAAAATACAAAAGTGAGTAGCACAGAAAATACTATTTTGCATGAAGAAGATAGTACTATTAGTCACTATTTTTTTTTAAGCCTCTCACTCATTTGTCAACTGTTTGTCAGCCATAAATAACGTAACGTGATGCTCGGACAACAGGAACCAGAACCTGCACTTCCTTGAACTCGTGTGAAGCCTGGCAGACAAGAGGAACACGTTATTACCAGGTGAGGCTGAGGCAAGAACATTGTTATGTTCCTATCCTAATGGCCACAAACACTTAGATTCCTTTACTATTTTTCCGTGTCAACTTTGAAGAACATGTATTCCCTTCAAAAAATGAGATTTATTTATTTATTTATTTATTTATTTATTTATTTATTTATTTTAGTATAGTTTATTGATATTTTACAGAGGGGAGGAAGGGAGAGAGATAGAGAGCTAGAAACGTTGACGAGAGAGAAACATCGACCAGCTGCCTCTTGCACACCCCCTACTGTGGATGTGCCCGCAACCAATGTACATGCCCTTGACCGGAATCGAACCTGGGACCTTTCAGTCCGCAGACCGACGCTCTATCCACTGAGCCAAACCGGTTTCGGTTAAAAAATGAGTTTTAAATGTCAGATTTGAAACAGTGCAAGAAAAGGTGGCCTAAGAAAAACAAGAATTGTTGTTTTTTAAACCCTGTTACAGTGCTACTACTTTGCAAACCCAGGAAAGTCATCTGCTTCTTTTTCCTACTAACTCATAAAAGTATGACATGAAAGCTGCAGGTGGAGTTCCGTAATTCTCCCGCGAGAACCAGCAGCGCTGGGGCCGCGGTGACCCTAAGCCAGCCCGCACTTTTCTTCCCATTCCTCTGTCCCCAGCGCTCGGCTCCAGGCCTAACGGGGTTGTCTTGAGAGTCCAACGTTAAAATGCAAATTTTATAAAACTGTTTCCATGGACTGAGGAAGACTTGCTGAGGCCCACTTTCTGGGGGAGGCTTTTGGTCTGCAGATGGCGTTTTATTTAAAAAAAAAAAAAAAAAAAAAAAAAGCCTCTCCCACTAGGCCCACGGGACTGGCAGCTGGCCGACGGGCCGTCGCTGCTCTGACTGCTTTCAAGTGACCGAATGTACCCGGGCTGTTTGATAAGGTCGTTTGTAAATATTTACTGATTTGGAGAGAAAAGAAGTCAAATTACATCAACCCATGCCCACCCCATGCTTCCAGCCAACGGACTCTCTTATTTCCAGAACTATTGTGCTCCGGGAAGATTTAGAGAGCAAACAAGAAAACCGCTTAACTCTTACTGGGGAGTGGGTACGGGAGCCCGAGAAAATCTCTCAGCAAAATAAGTGAGTCTGAAAATCTTTAAAGAAGCTTAAAAATGTGTATTTCAGTCAGTTCCCCAAATCATGGACTTACAAACTCTTTCACAGAAGCCATTAGAATTCTTTTCTAGCCGCACCGTCAGCAGGCAGGGGGACCGCCATTAAGGCTTGCTGGTTGCTAAGGAGAACTGCTCAAGGCCAACGTCAGAGGCAGGAGCCCCTCACCCCAGTCACAGGCTCCTCGGCACAGCCCTGACCCCAATCGCAGGTCCCTCAGACCCAAGTTCCCAGCTTAATTCCCCCACTGTTTAATAAGATTTCAATTTGGGAAAACCCAACATCCCTTTGTGGCCTTTTCCTTCCTGTGTCCATTTCCAACCCAGAACGTGCATGTCAAACTCACGGCGGGCAGGCCACAAACAAGGCATGTGGCCCGCCAGTCACAGGTCTGACATGCTTGACTAAGGAGACTTGATGGGTAAAGCAGTAAGGCCACCAAATGATCTACAGTGGACCCTCTGTTCTTTCCTTTGAAAAGACACACTCAACTCACTTTTTAGAAGAAAAAGCTAAGGGATGGGGAGGAAGGGGAGGGGTCAGAGTAGACCATAACTACAGAATCTGAATAATGTTAAGCGAAGCACAAAAGTCCCAAGAGCCAGCAGCTCCTGCGCAGTGGGGTCCTGCCCTGACTGCATCCAAGACCCAGCAGGACCTGCCTTTCCGATCCACTTGAACACAAGGCCCCAAGCCAGCTGCCTGGAGGGCCTGGGCTCGCTTGCAGCCCAACCATTTCTGCAGAGAGAGGATCTGAGCCCTGGGAGCCTAGGGGCTTTTGTTTTCATCCAGGTGGCTTCCGGGGTTAATCTTACAGGGAAGAAACACCACCAAGCAAGGAAGGACTATGGACCCTCCCCTGGAAGTAACAATAGGCCAAGAATGCGGTTTCTCCTAATCCTGGCCTGAGCAGCTTGTTTGCTATATCACCACACTATTTACAAACTAAAGGGAAAGACCACAGGATGGGGGGGGTGGGTTGGGGGTGGGAATGGCGTTTCACAAGGTAACTGATCTAGGTGCAAGAAGCCAGCAGGGTTACGATAAAAACAGAAGCTTAAAGATGCTTAAAAATATGTGTATTTCAGTCAGTTCCCCAAATTCTGGAGCTCGACATTCCCTGTGTGGCCCTGGGCAAGCCAGGGTCCCGCAAAAAGTCTTGGCTTCCTCATTGGCAAAACAAAGGCCTGAGAGACTGGTGGAGGCCAGCGATGGCCTGTGAAACGCGTAGGAGAGGGGCAGCCCCTGCAGGTCCCAGTAAATGCTGACGACGCCATGAACTTCTCCTTTCTGACAGAAGGAGAGCAGAGGTGGCTGTGCAATGCCTCTCATTACTTCACCTCCGAGTCCCCCAAAACTGTCCATCCTGAAGGCAGCACCACATTCTTTTTCTTAAATATATTTTATTGACTTTTTTACAGAGAGGAAGAGAGAGGGATAGAAAGTTAGAAACATCAATGATAGAGAAACATCGATTCAGCTACCTCCTACACACCCCCCACTGGGGACGTGCCCGCAACCAAGGTACATGTCCTTGTCTGGAACTGAACTCAGAACTCTTCAGTCCGCAGGCCAACGCTCCATCCACTGAGCCACACCGATTTCGGCACCACATTCTGTTAGTGGCAGTGGGCGGGGCCTCCGGCAAGCTGGTGGCGGGAGAAGGCAACAGTGTACTCATGGATGCAGTTTAACAAATTCACTTGGAGGACCTTTCCTCCTCTTCTCAGATCTGCCTGCCCCCTACCCCACCCCATTATTCCATCAGCCTTCTCTGCACCCCTCACTCCGTGTCTCCTCTGCTGCACTTTCTCCCTTGCTCAGGAAGCCAGTTCTGGCTCACAGTAACCTAGCTGCTGGAAGTCTTCTTTGGCCCGATCATCAAGTGATCATCAAGCTGAGGTTTCACTGCAAACCTGGTCAGCGCATAGTCACAGTTCATTCATTCGCTGCAGCCATCAGCCTGGGCTTTGGATCATGACGGTGCCCACCCTGGTTAGTCCTACATTTTACAGTGAGAGGGGCCAGGAAACCTCTTTACAGACCAGACATGAGTTTCAGTATCTCAGAATTTCCAAAGAGCCAAAAATGAACAAAAGCAGCGCCTCTCCAGGACACTCCCGCCGAGACAGCGCGACACTGCCAATCTCGTTAGTCCCGCCAATGGCCTGACAGGGCAGAGCGTTGGGCAGAGAGCTTGGAAGACGTGGGAATGACCGGGTCTTATTTGCAAGCCTTCTCCTTGGTTTCGTGTTAGGGTTCAAAACTGTAAAGAGGGTTGACTTGGAAACATTTCAGATGGAAACATGCAGGAGAGAGTGCTCATTTCTTAGGTCAGGAGAAATTACATTTAATGGAGGGGAGAAGGTTGTAATTTTATTATCGCTGTGCAGTATGTTTGAGAGTAAGAGCTTTTAGAGGTATCTGTGTCTTATCTAAATAATATGGGCGGTGTGTGTGTGTGTTTTTTTTTTTACCATAATAACTGTATGGGTCATGTTTTGTTGAATGTTAAGGAATTCAAAATTATAAGGGAAGAAATATGTTCATTCATAGATACACTTTCACATTAAATATATATAACACACACACACACACACAGTTTGAAGGGGAAAAAAAAACTAATGTAAAGAGTAAAGTGGGAAATGAGTAAAAAGATATGAAGGAGCCAACCTTTGTTTTTTAATTAAAAAGCACCTGGGGAATAGCAGACATACACACACACATGAAGAGCTGATATTGTAGAACTGATTAGTGAGAAATGTTTTAAAAAAAGAGAGAGATTGTCGTAACCAGTTTGGCTCAGTGGAAAGAGCGTCAGCCTGCAGACTGAAAGGTCCCAGGTTTGATTCCGGTCAAGGGCATGTACCTTGGTTGCGGGTACATCCCCAGTAGGAGGTGTGCAGGAGGCAGCTGATAGATGTTTCTAACTCTCTATCCCTCTCCCTTCTTCTCTGTAAAAATCAATAAAATATATTAAAGAGAGAGAGAGCGAGAGAGAAAGAGAGAGAACAACAACTATATTAAATCCTCAACCTAACCTCTATAGTAACTTTCATTTTTCCTGCGAGCACTAGACCCAGGGGCCGTCTCCCGCAGCTCAGGGACCTGAGGGCAGCACCTGGCGGTTTGCCTGGCATTGTCTCCGTCCGGGGTCTCCACCAGGTTGTGAACTCTGACCCGGTCTGAAACACCATTCACAACCTGAGGACTATGACATGTGAATGGGTCATGAAATCCATGTCATGGGTTAACAGCCAGCGTTGTTTTAATGGAACAGAACTGAACCGAACAGACTTGACTAGAAAATGCCTGGAGCCAGTGGTACTCTGTGAAACGTGTTGGTGTGTACTCATGTGCACACATGCATACGGATCACGAGGTAACAAATACTTCTAGGAATCTGGGTTCCAAAGTGTGATAAAAACACTGGCCTAGGACAGTGGTTCCTATGTTCTTTCTTTTGTCACTTGTGGGGGGTATGGCCCACGTCCAGCAATAATGAAGGACTCTCTCAACGTGACACCCCATGCAGGAAGG